GGGGGGGGGGGGGGGGGGGGGGGGGGGGGGGGGGGGGGGGGCTGTTGGTGGCCGAGACCCTTGGTTTGGGGGTGGTATTTATTTTCACAGCTGTGTTTTTGTGAGTAGTGGGAAAAAGCTCAAAGAATTTCCAGCGTCCCCATTTCTGCTTTTTAAATCTTTCCAACTAAGCCTTAAGGCTTTATTTCTTAACGTGTTGTGGGGGGTGGGAAGAGGGTGTGTGGACACGGCCTCAGAGGACATCATCCCCTGTGTGTAACGGGCTGGCCCTAAAGCAAAATTTTAAATGTCTTGCAACCCGAGCACCCCTGTCACAAGCCCTTTGCGGTCTAGCTCCTCTTTTCTGGGTTAAGAGGGAGGAGATGGGAGGAGAACTGAAATTATCCGTCCAACTTTGGGATGGGTCCGATCCTATTCATGCAGGTTACTTATTTTACCCATGTTTCTTACCTGCCATAAACTTGTCCTCTGGTACCAAAGAACCGTTAGAAGAAGGAAAGCATCCCAACTCTAAACGTGACTTTGTGTCTTTTGAAGAAGAGAGGGGATAGGAAAGAAATTTCATTTTGTTTTAGACACAGATTTTGGTGCTAAACAGCTTAATGGAATCCAGCCTTACAGAATTCCTAGAACAAATGCAGTTTGAGAGGGAAGATGCTTTCCTTTAGGGTAGGGAATTGCCAGCTCTCCTTAGAGATTAGTGATTTTGGAGGTGAAAGAATATAGAAAGATGCAGAGAGAAAGTAGTGCATTCTGGAAAATAATTAATTGCAGTAACATGTTCCTCTGTTGTATCTGATTATCAATAAGTTTAGTTGCTGCCCTCTGTGGTTACCACTTCTGTGCCTCTGCCATAATTAGTTGCTTATTTTAACCCTTGTTTCATCTGCTTGAACTTTCAACACAAGTCCAGCTGATGTTTTGTCATTCTGAGGTCCTTCAGAAATGTTTTTAAAGACAGGTAGATCATGCCCTCAACCCCAGGATTGCTGTGCACAATGAAGACAGAGCTTGTTTCTTGTCACAAGGATGATGATGATGTGAGCAACACTGAGAGTGACTGGAGCCGTGGCGGCGTTTCAGGCACTGAAGTGCAGTTCATGATGTCGCTGTGATGGTTGCATCGGGAGGTTCAAGGAAGCTGGAATAAATTCTGTTTGTCACAATTGATTCAAACCATACATACAAGAAGTGAAAGGATAGTTCACAGCAAGATATAAAATCAGCTAATAGGTCCTTTCCTTAAGAATGGCTTGTTTATATGTGTTGTTATGTGTGTTTATGGGGAAGAGACAGATTCGGTCATCTGGGAAATATCGTGTAGATGTGTCAGTTCACATACCTATGATGGATCTTTCGTGCTGGGAATGAAAAAGAGTCGCTGGCAACACATGTTTTACATCACAGTAAACAGCTGAGGTAACTTTTTTTTTTTTGTAATGTAACAGTAAAGGTTTAACATATATGGTACTTATTTAAATTATTGATAAAAATAAACCCTGGGCAAGTAACTTTCTTTAGGTTCCCCATCTGTAAAATGGGCATAGTAAGGCCTAAGGCTACACTCAATGTTCAGTATAAAAAGCACCCTTAGAATGGCTTTCTTTTTTCAAAAAAGGTTTCCAAGCTACTGATCAGGTTTTGTAAGTGACCTTCAATACAACAAAATTTCAACTGGTCAAAGAAGTTGGGCATTATAATGAGGTTTGATTTCTAGCACCGTCTTGGGGAAAATAGAGAAACTTGAAAATACATAGAGATATACTAAGTTTTCACAATTTTTTTCTGGATGTTTAATTGCTTATATGTGATTATTTTGCCCATACCTCAGAGAGGGAAATAGAGACACAGAGAAGAAGGTAAATAAGTAAAAATATCCAGTGAGCCAGTGGCTGAAGTAGTATTAAACCCTGTTTCTAACTTCTCAGTGTACGTTGCCTTGAGTGATATAGCATGTTACCTTTGGAAAGCTCTGCAAAGAAACTTCAATTGAGTCTTAAACTTTCAGGTGCAAAGAGGCAAGAAACATCGGTCAGGGCTGCCTGCTTTTGTTAGTGGAAGGACAAGACATTGGCTAAGTGGGGATTTGCTTTGCCCATCAGACCATATAGGACATGTGTTTAAAGTTTAACTTTTCACAGCGTGGCTTTGTATCCACAGCTGTGACTTAAATATTTGTTAGAATGATTTCTTTGGGTTGCTTAGTTTCTTATGTGTGGAGACAACTAGTATGGGATCTTACCTGGCTTAAATGATTAAACCATTTCCTCCCAGCCCCTCCCAAATTTATGAGAGCTATAGGCAGTAGGGAAGTGGGGAGTCCAAACAGGAGTTGAAAGACTTGTATTATTTGCCTGTCTTTGGGGCTAGGATCTGATCAAGAACCTTTAATCACTTTTATTCTATATTGAGACCTCACAGGATTTTGACAGCCTTAAGTACCAAATTAACATATACTTTGAAATAACATTAGAATTGAATTTTCCTTGTAAGTGTAAAGTGGGATATACTGTTTGATTGCAACGGTGTGATTGCGAGGTTCTCATATCTTAAATAGGCTAAAAACAGATGTAGCCATTGAGTTCGCTCCTGGTTCTCTCCTGGTGTGGAGCCTGCTGAGAAGGGGCTTAGGCTGGGTGCCAAAACAAACACATTCACAAGCTGCTTCTTTTTTCGTCTTCTTCCCCACTCCACTCCACCTTTTTGGTGAGGTGAGCCTAATGTCCAGATAAGAGCAGGAGTTCCAATTCTAATGTTTGCCCTTTTATAAGAATGAAAGAATCAACCCCTCACCCCACACCATGCCAGAGAGGGTGTCTATCCATCGGAGACCTGTATTGTCCTTAGAGATAGGAAGAAAATTTTTTCTTTCCCAGCTTGGTCAGTCGTTGTATTTTCATCAGTATAGACAAGAAAGAAGGGCGGTGCTGCCCAGGCTATTAGGATCTGTGCTCCTGGATACCTGCTGACCATACTGTGTTACTGACTAAAGAGCACAGGGGTTCAGAGCAGGGACTCTGGAGCCAGTCTATCTGGGTGTGAATCCCAGTGTAGCTACTTAGCTCTGTGATTTTGGGCAAATTGCTTAATCTCTCTGTGCCCCAGCTCCTGCATCTGTAAAATGAGTGGAATAATCATTCTACTTCGTAGGGTTGGTATGAGGATTAAATCTATGAATATATGCAAAATCTTAAAACAGTACCTGACCCTACTACATTCTGTTTAACAGTTAACTAAAAAGTCAACAAAAAATGACTCTGACTGGTGTAGAATTTTCAGAGGCCCTTGAAATGTTTTTGATAGGGGATATGGTGGCTGTGTTATCCATCTTCTCTAGTCTATTATTTGAGGAGGGGAAGGAGAGTAATGTTAAGGAAGTGTTTTTCACCTGCTTAGCTGAGATCTCATGCTTAATGAATCTTCATGCTGTGCTCTGGAGAGCAAATGTAGTGAGCAGGTAACTTTCAGAGTGTCTTGAGGTCCAACTGTCACAGTTAAGAGTCATAGGGGTTGGCCAGTTACTTTGGGTGATAGAGGTTGTCAGTCTTACCTCTGAGCAGGAAGGCCACCAAGTCTGGGGGCAACGGGGACATTTGCAGCGTTGGTGGAAAAGGAGAGCTTTTCAATTATGCAGGGCTGAGAAATGTATCATGTCCAGTTATTATAAAGTGTCTCACATTTTACTTATTTATTTGGTTGGCAGAGCTTGCATTCCTGGCATTTTTGGTCAGTTTGTGTCACTGTTTTTGGTTGGGTTTTTTTTTGTCTATGTAACTTTTTTTTTGTCTTAAAGAGACCAGACCACCCCGTAGAAGCATCCCCTCCCTTTAGGAGAAAAACCAGCTTGTGGTCAACCTCCCTGAGCCCGCTTACTCTGGGCTCCCTTAGGATCTCTACAAAACTGAGAGCTGGTTAGTATAGGTCAGTATTTATCAGGAAAGAGAGTCTCCGTATTTCAAAGAGTACAGCGGATAACCCTACAACAGCTGCAGTGACAATATAATTAGACATCTCTCCGGACAGTATAATTAGACATCTCTCCAGTGTGCTGAATGAATAACCCATGGCAGTGGTGGCATTCCACAAGCTTGCATTGGAAGTAATTTCTTGCCATTCAGAAGGGATAGGGGCAGTTCTGGAGCTCATTGTGTGTGCATTGTGCGCTGAGCACATTCACATAAAAGAGTAGTTTTATGCTTCACACTTTTTCTGGGGTGGGGAAAATGTTATTTTCTCCATTTTTCAGATGAGGAAAATGATTTAGATGTGTCTACTTTTTGCCTAAGGCCACACTTCACGAACTTACGCACTGATGAGATGTTGCAGGCATTTTCTGCCTAAAATAAAAGCGCATGTTATTCTTGGAAACTCTGGAAATTAAAACATGGTCGTATGAGAAGGCAGTGCTGGTCTGTGCTTTGGGGGTTCAGGAAGTATGGGGCTCCCTGCCATCCTGCAAGACTGCTCTGAGCTGAATCAGATGGCCTCAGTGCTCTGGACAGCTTGGGGAAAGGGCCTGTCCCGTGGGCTGTCCCCAGGCCTGGCTGTCCAGATGTGTTACTTTAGGAAGATGCTTAAAGGTTCAAGCAACGCTTACCTCAGATTGTGAAGCAGAGAACCAGGGTTCTTGTTTTTCCAATGTCTTCCAGATGTCCTTGGCTCTCTCACAGGTGGGAAGGCGATTACGTTCACTTCCAAGGTCAGTCCTTCCCTGAGCCTCCAGATTCTGCCTGTTTTACCTCCCTCATCACTGATGCTGCTCCGCGTGGAGCCTCTCACAACCTGGATGATGGAAGATGTAGATTGGCAAACTAGTTC